CAGAACATGTGCTTCCTGAAGCTTAGCTCTTGCCTGTGACTTATTACAACAACACAACCCGGCGGTCTCCCATATGAAGGCACTTTGGACGACATTCGCGCAGTGGCTGCCAAATAAAGTCCAGAGGTTGCAGAATCATTTGTCAACACCAAAGGCAAAGGTACCAAGAGCTGGTCCTTTCTTCCCAGAGGTCACTCCTTCTGATCCATGGGTTTATTACCTAGAGCAAACAATTAATCTCGCCGCCTTCAGAATACAAAATAGTTTTAGCCAAGGTAGTATCCTCCAATGATCCGCTTCTCTGTCTGGGCATCGCTGCCAGGAGGAAGAACAAAAAAATAAAATAAAATAAAATAAAATAAAAAAAGGTCCACTGGCTGAACATCAAGGGACCTGTCCCCATCCGAGATCTACAGCTAACTCAATCTTAGCTGAGTTGGGCTTCGGCAGCCTCACCTGAAAACAATGGTGTTTCCTAAGAAGATTGTCATTATCTTTCGTTTTCGGCAGTTCCATAATCATGAGAATCTCTAATAGTTTTTAAAGCACTTCGGCACTCCAATGTTGCACGTTCTGGTACTTTAATTTGAATACGTGAGCTTCTGTATAATGTGCGTGTGTGCAAATGTAAACGTGCACGTGCTCATATTTGTGTCGGCACACACACTCTGATACTATTAGGTGGTTACACGGGGCTAATTGCTTCCATTTCAGAGCAGCAAATTTTCAGTTCTGCAACAGATGTCGCTGTGTGATTTCTCCTTTCTGTGCTGGATTTTCTGTTAAAAATGCCCAGCATAATGGTCAGTAGCATTCTTCCAAAGAAAGATATACAGCATTTTAATCCTCTGGATTTCTTTCTTTTAAATTTTCTTCGTATGTGGTCAATTTCCATTCAAACCACAGTACCAATTAGCTTGGCCCCTTGTAAGAAATACCCCTCACATAAAAATAGTCTTTTTGTTAAACAACACACACGCACGCACACACACAAACACACACACCAATCAATCAAAACATTAAAAAATTAATACAAATTCTATGTGGTCAATTAGCTTTAAAATATCGCATACATAGACCCAATAAGAATGAGTCTCGTAGTATTGATTTTCATAGTATTACTATCCATTTTAAAGGGGAGAGGGACAACTTAACAATAGAGGCTGAAAAATTAAAAGAAAAAAAAATCACGTATAAAGCTGAAATGTACCAGGTACGGGAGTAAAGTTTAAAAATAAAACCCAAGAGCACCATTAATAACAATTATTAAAATACGGGATTTTCATTTTAACAACACCCTTAAAAATAATCACAAGGCTAACGTGATAATTGCAAGACATCTTTCCTACCATTCTGACATTCACTATCTTGACACATGTCATAGACAAGTGGCATCTCTTTCCCCACACCCAGTACACTGTCCAATGTTGATCAGTCAACAGGTAGCTAGCTACCCAGCAGTTTCTTCCGTAAGAGCCAACAATGGCAGAAAAAGATTTCAAAATCTCCTTCGAAACCTAAGAGGCTGTTACATTCTGGGGTTTGGGAGGGAGTGGAGATTGAGAAGCAGGCGGTGAGTAGGGAACCAAATCCGGTAAGAATGGGAAGTCAGGAAGTAAAAGAGGAATCCAGAGCGCCCGGCCTGTTATCACCTTCCCTGTCCCACTCCCCTTTACCGGGAGAGCCACTGGGGAAAACTGGATAAAGCATGTACAACATCCATATGAATAAAGCTCTTTGTTCCGGAGAACTGCCTGCTCTTTTATTCCCCCCTTTTTCGTATTTGTTCATTTCAAAAGATTGCTCAATGGGTCTCTTGTTCCTCCAAAATGTCCCGGGCAAATAATGCAAGCTTGTCTCGTCACACAAGTCACTAAATGAAGCCTTGTGCGTCTCCAGTGACACACTGTAAATATAAAGTGGCATTAATGAGGGATATTTTATCGAAGCTATCATAGGCAAGTGCAAGTCCCCCCCAGTGACTATTCAATTTGATGCAGGGAAAGGCAACAATAGCAGGGCGTCACTTTTGCAAAGTCCCTGTCCCTGGTCTGCAAGCTCCAACAAAGCTCAACCAAGTCCCAACCGGCTAGGGCAAGCCGGGACTAACTGCCACCCCACAAATCCCCTACCCATCAACCATGGTCTCTAATCCTGCACAGGGTAAGAGCAGGATGATCTACTGCAGGTTCCTTCAGGATCCCATACAGCAGCATGCCTGCACCTTAAACATGGTGAGAGTGAGTAACACAGCACAGGCGATCCTATTCTGGCTGCATTTCGGGTCTGTTTAACCCAAACACCACAGGAGATGAGAGTGGATTTCCTCTGGGATGGAGGTAAGGGCGGGGGACAAGCAGGATGGCTTCAGCTACAGAGGCAAACAGAACAGAACCCCAGTCCACAATAAAGGGACTTGGCTTTCCCGGCAAGAATGGGAATAAAACAAGCCTAATGAAGTTAGCAGGTAGCACCAACAGGTTTCTCTTAATGGGGGAATGAAAAGCAGAGGCCCCTGAAAAAGCTTTAGCTTAGCATGTGAGGAAAAGGAGTCCTTCGGTGTCCACCTGAAATTGACCCCTGCAGTATGGAATCTAGGGCTTGGCCAGACCATCTCTCAAAGTGTACACACACACACACACACACACACACACACAGTGTACACACAGTGTACACACACACACAAGCATTCAAAAAAAATTAAAGAAAGTCATCTCCCCCTCTCACTACAAATGAAACCCAATTGCTTTCTAATTTGAACACAATCTGATAAGCGGCATACAAACAGGGATGTACACAAGAGCAAGAAGCTGCTTCCATGGTAACTGGCAACAGAATTTTCCTGTAGCTTTGACATGCACGGTTGAGTTCCAGACCATTCCTTTCTAAGTCAGCACACATCCCTCGCCGAGAAGGCAACTTCTCGCCGAGAGATAGTACAAATATAGTACGGTTGTTACTACCCCGTGCCTTCAATGAGGAGGCTTGATAAGGGAGGCAAAATCTAAGCCTACTCGGCTGGTTTAGTGACACTGCATGGCTCCCATTTATAGTGGAAAGGCAATATCCCGGGTCAGCGCTTCCCACCCCCACCCTTCGTTCTGCAGCCAATACAAGTCTATTGTTGCCTCTGTAATGCACCAGTTACCCAGCCTTTACTCACGCTCACGTTTAACTGACAGTGGCGCTTTTTACAATGCAGCACGAGGGATCTCTTTCGGGAACACTCTATCGAACCCTTCCAGTCAGTGGCATCACCAGAAATTAAGTTGTAACCACACGGGCTTCGGCTAAACCTAATTATCTCGTAACTCATAAATTAAGAATTCACAGAAGAAAAACATATAAACATCCGGAGACAGACTGTAGCATGGAAGACAAAATTCTCAAGCTGGAATAGAAGGTGCTGCCAGGCTCCCACCCTTAAAGCTTCCATGGGTTCTTCTCCCCAAGCGTGTTTTATATTTTATTTTTTGGAGGGGGGTAAGTCAACCAACCTGGCATCCCCCTAAATCCGAAGCTAGCACTCCCAAGCATCCCCCATCTCCAACAGCGTGTCTCCTGCGGTGTTTACATAACTATGTGTCCTCTAGCGTGTAAACAAAAGACACAACCCAAGCAAAGAAGCGCCCCCGGAACCGCACACTGGCCCCAGCGCTGCATCCTCCCGGGCTGGGGGTTCCGCAGGTGGGGGTTGAGCTCGCGGCGTCCTCCACCACTTGTTGCTCCCAGGTCCTGCAGCTCTGGAGCTGCAAGGAGGGGTTTTGCAGGCTCAGACCCCTAGCGCATCCCCTCGTGCACGGCCGGCAGCCCGCTCGCCACCGCTCGGTGCCGCTCGGTGCCACCGGCCGCCGGGAGCCAGAGGCAGGCGGTACAGCCGCACGGGGACGCCGCGCGGCTGGCGAGAGCGACGAGGTGGCGGGAAGGCGGGCGCAGCGCGGCCGGCCTCTCCAGTGGGGAAGAGCTCCGGCTCCCTTTTGTTAGCAAATGCAAACACTGCCCTCTTCTTTCCCGACCGCGCCAACGCGCCCGGCACAGGGGCAGCCACACGCGGGGCTCCTGCCAAGCGCTCGGCGTCTTCAGGAAAGGCGCGGCGCTCGCAGAGCCGCCACCCGGGCAGATTCTCAAGACGGCCGGCCACGCAGGGAGCGCCCCGAGGCCCGCAGGGCGAGCGCCGGGCCGCAGAGGCCGCGAACGCCCCCGCCACCACCTGCGGGCCGCTTGCCCGAAGGACGCGCAGCCGGGAAATCCCGGATCCCCACTCGCAGCAGAGGCCTTCGTGGCGCGGACCGGCTGAAGGCACACGGAGCCCTTCTGTAGCCGCGGCGACGAGCGGCCGCCCCCGAGCCGGGAACTTTCCCTGCCTGGATTCCAGCCAAGCCGACCCGCAGCCCAGCGGAGGGGGCCGAGGGGCTGCGTTCGGCAGGAGGGAAACACGAGAGGCGTGCAGCTCTGGGGCGGGGGACCTGCAGAGCGCGGGCAAGCAAGCGAGGGAGAGGACACGACTGTGGGGATGTCCTGGGGACCCGCGGGGAAAAAAGCTTCGGGAAACGGAGAATCGATCGGGGGGCCGAGCTGAAAAGGAGGGGACGAAGGCTAAGCCCGGGGACACAGAAGGACCTGCAAGTTCCAGGGACAAGAGCGAGTTTCGGAGGGTCCGGAAGGTTCGGGGCGCCTCAGAGGGCTTCCCTTCCCCCACGCGCGAGCCCCTGGCCCCCAAGCCCACTCCACTCAGCACCCCGCGCTACGCCAGGAGGAAGAGGTGTGGGTGCAGCCATCCCTGAGGGCGCCCATCCGCAACCGGCGGGCAGGAGAGAAGGGGCGCCGACCCCTCAGCCCCTTCCCATCGCAGCCCCGACTTTCCTTGCCACGCTCCCGCCGCTTCGGATTTGGGAAGTGGGGGGAGGTTGTCATGGAAACGTCCCCCCTTCCATAGCTACGGCTCCTGGGGGTGCCCGGGGGGGTATTTCGGGACCAATCCGCGGGTGCCCACAACCTACCTGTGGGGATCAGTGCCGCGGCCGAGAGGAGCAACAGCAGGAGCCGGAGCTGGAGCCCGGGAGGCGCTGCCGCCGCCGCCACAGCCGCTGCCGCCGCACACTGGGATCCGCTCGGCAGCACAGCACTCGCCATGTCGGGCACCTGCCTCAGACTGGCGGCGGTCGCTGCCTCCCGAGCCCGAGCGGACAGCTAATGAGATGCTAATGAGATGTGCTAAAGGCGGAGTCAGGACCGACCAATCGTGGCGCCGCGAGCCCAACCCGGCTCTCGAAGGACTAGCCCCCTCCCCCACCCCGCCCCCTGGCGCTCGCGTTCGGCCGCGCGCCCGCGCCACCTAGGGGCGGGGCCTATGGGAGGGGCCTATGCAAATATGTTTACGTTAAAATTCGGCTTAGCTTCCCCGCTGGAGGAAAAGTGTACTGCCCCGGCGCCTGGCGAGAAGGCGGGGGAGGGGGGCTGCGGCTCCAGGAGGCGGGTCTCTAGTTTCCCTGCACCTTTATTAGGAACATTTGCTGCATTCGCCGCGGCGGACTCACGCCTGGCGAGTCTCATCCCGAGGCTCCTGGGCCCGAGCACTGCGTGTGCATCGGCCTGTGGAAGTCACACTTTGCGAATTTCCTTCCTTCACCTTGCACGAAGGAATGCGATCTTTGGGAAGCCAGGGAGTGGAGAGTGCGAATGCAGGTCCCCGGATCGACAAAACAATCTGGGAGAAGTGCATGCGTGCTTTGCACGTCCGGCGAAGAGGGAGAGCCCGCTCAACAACCTAGCGGTAGACTAAGGGATAGTAGAGAGACTGAAGTCGAGGAGTCGGGTTCTGGGATTTTCAAGAGTATGTTTGGCTGTAGATTCTGGGGAACGGTAAATCGCGGGCGGGGGTGGGGGATGCTCGGGCTCCCCAGCATGTTGAAAGTATCCTTCCCAGATTTAATAGATTTTTAGCATGTAAGCAATATATATTTAAGATTACACGCACACAAAAACAAAAAAATCTACCCGTCAGGTTTGTGGGAAAGGAAATGTGGGGAACCAAGAGCTTCCAAGATAGGGAGAGTCAGCCGAGTTACTCCTCCAGGGCACAAATCAATTCCTTTCTCTGCTGTGCTTTCAATCCTTTTAAAGGGTTCTAGAGACCAACAGGTGCTCCCGGTTTCAGTTGTGTCTTGGAGAAGTTCTCCTGCTGAAGAGACTGGTAAGCCTCTCTGGACACACTCTCCCTCCCCTAAATTATCTTTGCTTTCTTTTCAACCAAGCAGGCGGCTCTCTTGTTTGTCTGCCTTTTAATTACTTATTTACTTCCCCTCTAGAAGACCGTGTGCGCTCTGACCCTCTGTTGCTCAAGCATCAAATTGAAGGACGAGCTGTATTAAGTGTAAAGGTTTATAATAATTTAAGTATTCATAGAATGCAGAACAATAAGATGTAGGAAATACAATTTGCATAATAAATATCAATATCACAACAGCTAAAACAAACCATGACAAATTATCTGTGGCTAAATGACCAAGAGATTACTGAATGTAAATTGCTGAATCTGAACTATAGTGTAGAAGAGCCCTACCAAAGCCCTCGTGTCCTCATGTCGCAAATAAATTAAAAAAATAAATATCAAAAAGGAAGTTAAGATCAGCCAACCCATCAAATGAGTTACACATTAAAGCAGCCTCATATTATCCATTATGCATAAACTAATTTTCGAAACTGCCCTGTCTCCCCATCCCTGGATCTTCTGCTCTGTAATTATAGGCCCCAATGCACCAACTGCAGGCAGTCCTCCAGAAGTCGAGAAAGCTCCAGTGGACAAATCACAGTACAAGAGGCAGAAAACCAACACTGTGTGGCCACCAGGATAACGTCCAGTCCGCAAAAATCCTATGTGTTATTGCCAGAAGTGAACTACCTTGATCAGACCCGACGCAAAGCAGATTTCTACCCAAATTAGAATGAAAAGCCGGGGGCTGACAACGGAATGTATACTGCTAAATCTGACCCTACATCTCAGTCACAATAGCCCAGGGCTAGGCGCAAGAGGGTGTTCTTTATGTTGCTGCTACTCATGTGTCCTTGAGTCCTTACCAAGGAATTTTTGTGCGTGATCTTGTTTAAGCACTGAAACGTTCTATTGTTTCCCTCCATTTTTTATTCAACATGGATAGAAAAATTGAACGCCAGCCTTAAAAAATAATTCCAAATTGTAGACAGAACCCTCACAACTAACCACTATGCTGCACTGTGCCTGAATAAATATGTGTTAAGTGAAGGAATAAATTTCACATCATAGTGCATGAATAATAAGCAAAGGAGAGCTGTATTTTTAACATAAGGTGAAAATATGCCAGCAGCCCAGAAACGTTGTTGAAAATAACAGGATTGCAGCCGGCTCCGAAGGAAAGGATTCTTCATGAGGCTGAGGCTCCAGGAGAATGTAGCCAGGCCCTAGTCCTCCCACACTCAGAACACAGAATGGGGACATTGGAAGAGCTGGAGTGTTTTCATCTCCCTCCGTTCTCTTGGCACTTCAAATGAACACCTACTCAGATTTCCAGTTGGCAAAGAACAACATGGGACATTTCTATAGGAAATGCCAGTGCTGTATGACTTACCTCACTGGAAGAATGCAAACAGCCTCAGAGATTGCCACAGAAATGCTGCCTGCCATGTAGGATTTGAGGAACTTGGCACAGCCGGTTTTACCAGGTATGGAAACTGAGGCCTGGTACACCTTCTGCATACGAGCCAGAGGTGAGAACTCGGGATGAAGCAAGCAGTTGTTGCTCTATCTTCTAGCCACGCTCCCCTCCCACCCCCCACTCCCCAGCTCTTTCACACCAAAGATGTCGCCAAGCGATTTAACATATGGAACATGCGAGGAACGCATCAAATTCCCACAGCCGCTAAGTACAAGTTATGACTACCCTGGCTTTCTCATAGTAAAGCGCGTCATTTTCTGCTCCACGGACTAGAACTCATCGCCAAGAACAAGTTCCAACATTTTTCCCCTTGCTACATGGATTGAACCAATTTTAAAAACCAGATGGTGTTTTTGCCATTTATAACTGATAATCAATTGTTTTGTGAATTTAATTTTTTAAGAAAGAACTGAAATACTTATCAGAATTACAATCTGGGTGCGATTTGTGTTAGAACAAACTTGCCAGAAGCACCAGGACCCTGGTTTCCTTCTTTCTTGCTTTCTTTTTTTTTTTTATGACAAACCAGAGAGAGACTTAATATTGTTTGCCTTCACCAAAACAGTTGAGAAATGTGGATAAACATATATAAAAAATAAGCATTAAAGGGGATTCATGTTTGTGGAAATAGATCAGAGATAATTAATGGCAACTTAGTAACATTTTGCCTCTTAAAATGCTAATTATTTTAATACCCATGTATAAGAGCAACTCAGACAAATTATTAAGAAAAGCAAAACAGTATTCGGAGTCAGCATTTGCCCAGCTACTGAGTTATTTAAATATTCATAGAAAAGTATTTTAATCCATGTTACTGACTGTGATTCCTACCCTGTCCCTGGTGCAGGAGAATTGTCTGTATTCTGTCAATCATGTTTTAAATAAATGCTGATTGGCCAGGCTGAAAGTATAGGCAGGTCAACCAGACAGGAAGTAGAGGTGGGGCGATGAGAACAGGAGTATTCTGGGAAGAAGGAAGTTCCCTTGGGAGTCCTGCCCAGACCACTGAAGAAGCAAAGTGTGACCTACCCTGCTGAAAGAGGTACCGAGCCATGTGGCTAACGTAGATAAGAGTAATGGATTAATATAAGTTACAAGAGTTAATAAGAAGCCTGAGCTAAGGGGCCAATCAGTTATAACCTGATGTAGACTCTCTGTGTGATTTTCTCTGGGACTTTACGGCTGGGGAACTGGGCCCGACAGAAACCCCAGCAAGCAGGCCCTCATGTACATGTCCCCCTACACACCAATTCCTGCAATGAAACTTTAAACCCCAATGCAATGCTCTTTGGGGGTGGGACTTTTGAGAGGTAATTACGTTTAAATGAGATCGTGAGAATGAGGCCTCCATGATCTTCAAGCTCTTTAAGAACAAAGAGACAGTAGAGTTCTAGAAGTGTGTGCAAAGGAAGTATGGCACATTCATGGTGACAGGTGGACTTTGCAAGGCAAGAGGATGTTCACAAGGATTTAACAATGCTGGCACCATGATTTGGACTTTAAGCCTCTAGGCCAATGTTTCTCAACTTTTGGGTCGAGACCCCTTTGGGGGTCACAATGACTCTTTCAGAGGGGTCGCCTAAGATCACTGGAAAACACAGACGTTTATATTATGATTCATAACAGCAGCAAAATCACAATTATGAAATCACAATGAAAATAATTTTATGGCTGGGGGTCACCACAACAGGAGGAACTGTATTAAAGGGTCACAGCATTTGGAAGGTTGAGAGCCACTCTGCTAAACTTTAAGAATAGAAGGAAAATAATGTTTTGTTGTTTCAGCTTTCGCTTCTTAAATTGTGGTTCATAGCCTCTATGGAGTCATGTGAAGGTCATTTGAAAAATTGGCGCCACTGAGATTCCTTAACATGCAACTGTCAAACAGTAACTGAAAATCAAATATGTGATGAATTTGAGATGTTCCTGACAACTCCCTGTGTGATGTCACCGCAGCCTTAGTTTGCAACACCCAAGCCCAAGTTTGAAAGCACTGTGTGCCCCTAGTCGCAGTGTGTGCTTCTCTGCTCTTGGAGGAACGTGATGGTTTAAGTATGAGAAGCAAAGTCTGTTTATGTTTTGCTACCGTTGTTCATCAGCATGTCTCAGTTAGTACATCTTTGGATTGTTTGGGGTTGTTTTTGGGTTTTTTTTTTTTGTTTCTTATTAAAAAAATACTATTTGATGACTAACATTTTATTTTTAAATTATTCAAATAATATGGGATCGAGATTGGGGCAGAATTGCCAATAATTTCTAAAATGGCCCCAGACATGCTTCTGCTGTTTTATGCTACTTATCTTTGCAAAGCATCGTTCTCAGTTTTGTCAACTATAAACTAACAACTTTAATCAACTCTGAAAAGTGTTGAAGTCTGTATCCTAAAGTACCAAATATTCAGCTAAGGTTCAAGTTTTTATGCAAAACTGAATAAACAAACCCAGCTTATTGGTGTGTAAATTTCCATTAATCTTTACT